CCGCTAGGAGACTGTTGAAGCAGTCCGCATTTGAGTGATAAATACTTGGATTAGTGGAGTAGCATGAACCATGGAAATAAGCACAAATAAAACGTGGGGAAAATTTCATGACACTTAGGAGTGAAAAATAAAGGTAAAAGGGATGTCACGATGTTAAGCCTGAGTGGCTAAGGAAACAGGTACAGCAAAAGAAATAAGGAAACTGGAATGCTGTGTCAGTCCACCCAGGCTGCCATAACAAATACTATAGACTTGGAGGCCTACACATAGAAATTTATTTTTTGGTGGTTCTGGAGGCTGTAAGCTTGAGATCAAGGCACTGATCTCTTCCGTTTCTGGTGAGGACCCTCTTTTTCAGTTGCAGATGGCTACATTTTCTCTCTGACCTCACATGGCATACAGATCTTTTAAGAATACTAATCCTGTCATCTCAGGGCCCACACTTATGACTTCATTTAACTAAATTACTTCCATAAAGGTCTATCTCCAAATACAATCACATTGAAGTCCAAATACATAGGGTTTCAACACATAGAATTGTGTTGAATTCGAAAAGAAAACAATTCAGTTCCTAGAAAATGAGAACCTAGGTTTTTGTTTTGTTTTGTTTTCTGTTTTTTTGCTTTTTGAGACAGTCTCACTCTGTTGCCCAGGCTGGAGTGCAGTGGCACAATCTCAGTTCACTGCAACCTCTGCCACCAGGGTTCAAGAAATTCTCTGCCTCAGCTTCCTGAGTAGCTGGTATTACAGGAACACACCACCACGCCCAGCTAATTCTTTCATATTTTTAATAGAGACAGGGTTTCACCATCTTGGCCAGGCTGGTCTTGAACTCCTGACCTTGTGATCCACCCACCTTGGCCTCCCAAAATGCTGGGATTACAGGTGTGAGCCACTGTGCCCGGCCTGTTTTTTGTTTTTTTAAAGATTATGAATTATTTTGGATTTGAGTATGAGATGAACAATGAACAAGTTGTTGGAGATCTAAGATGGAGTATGGAGAAGAGATTATTGATCGTAGATTTACCAATCCATCAACAGAGAGCTCAGAGCTTAGGTCATGGGGCTGTGTGAGTTCTTTGAGGAAGAAAGTAGATATCAATACAGAGGATTAAGGGGGCAGGAACCAAGCTGTGTGCAAATTCTCATAGAAAGAGCTCACGCCTGTAATCCCAGCACTTTGGGAGGCCGAGGTGGGTGGATCACGAGGTCAAGAGATCGATACCATCCTGGTCAACAAGGTGAAACCCTGTATCCACTAAAAATACAAAAATTAGCTGGGCGCGGTGATGCATGCCTGTAATCCCAGCTACTCAGTAGGCTGAGGCAGGAGAATTGCCTGAACCCAGGAGGCGGAGGTTGCGGTGAGCCGAGATCGCTCCATTGCACTCCAGTCTGGGTAACAAGAGCGAAACTCCGTCTCAAAAAAAAAAAAAAAGAAAGAAAGTAAAGGAGGTACAAATCAGCAAATAAGTTGTCAGAGAGATAGGAAGGGAGGCAGACAAATGAAGCAGTGTGAAGGAAGATAAGAAAGAAAGGAGTGTGAGGAAGTGGCCAATTGCACTAAATGCAATTACAGAGGTCTTGAAAAAGGCTGTGGTCAAAAGGCCCTGAATTTTTCAATTAGGAAATCATTACTGACTTCTGAGGAAGCAGTCTCCATGAGGTGACTGGGAAGAGATTCAGGTAAGAGAGGTTAAGGAAAAGCAGGATGAAGGTGATTGAAAGACAGGCCTGGTAAACGGGGAGGCAAATCTACAGGGTGCTGAATGCAAACATGGACCACTGAAGTGTCCACATCTTTGCCCAGAGCAGATTGAATTCAGCCCTGCTTAGATAGCTGCTGCTTTCAGATGCCTGGTTTATTCTTTCGACAAAAAAAAATCATTGTGTTATCAACTCTGCTAAGCAATGTTATATACACTGTCGATTAAACCAACAGCCCTGCCCTCATGCAACATCTGTGTTTCTTCTGCTCCCTACCAACTTCTGTTCTTTTGTGCATTCAGATTTTTCCTTAGAGCGCTGGTGTTCACCTGAGCTTGTTCTTAGCAGAGCCATCTTTCCCACCCTATGTGAACCTCATCAGAGTATACCATCTGCTCTTTGGTATGTTTTTTCACTCTTGCTAAAGTTAGAAAATGTTGGAGAGTCAATGAGCTTTTTCATGAAAACCCCATCTAATCATTTTTTTAATTAAGCACCTAATACAATAATGATATGGCCAATTATCAAATGTGTTGTCTTAACTTTAAGTTTTATTTTATTACAAATGTAAGTTCTACATTTAAGCTGAGAATTTAGTAAGAAGTAAACTCTGATTCGGTTAGGCAGAGACCAATTGTAGGTATTAACATGTTTTAAAAGCTTCCCAGTTGATTTTACTGTGCACCCTGGATTGAGATGCCTTGGCTTAGAGATCTGTTGTTTTGTGGTGCTGATTTTGTCAAAGAACCTGGCTCGGAGGTGGTAACAGTAGTATAACCATCCTTTGGGATGGACTGGTGTCTGCTCCCTACCCTTACTTTTGACTGACTTATTTTGGTGTTCTGCTCAACTCTAGCTTAATAAAAATACTGTAAATAATCTTAGCCTCAACGTAAGGCTCTTTTTAATCCAGTGCAAATATAATTTTACAGATGGGAAATGATTATGCCTGCAGTTATCTGCTTCCACATTAGAATGTAGTTTTAATTTCTGATGAGTCACTTTTATTGTGTAATACTCATTTTGATTGGTATTAGGTGGCATGGGTTGGTTTCTATTCAATTCCAGAATATCTTCTTAAATTGTTTTAATGTAAAGAAAAGGAAAAGTTGATGCTTCTCATCTTGCCTAATACCTCTATTTAGAGCAGGACGAAGTATCTGTCTTCTTGGATCTTGTATGTGTCTAGCTACATTCTGGATGTTTGATAGAAATAATATCATGCGTTGTATTCTCTGCCCTGACAGTGGAAACACATACAGGGAAAAGTATGTGGAATAAAAAGACAAACAGTGTAACGAGCTTTATTTTGTAACACTGGAATATTGAACTTATCTGTTGAGGTAGCACTAAGTAACATAATAACTTCAAAAACCTGGACCCGGCAGGCAGCTAATTTAGCTACTTGAAAATCACTGGGGGAAAGGAGATTGATGCTAAGATTACTGAAACCAGCTTAACACCTGCCAAGTTACCTCACTTTTAAAAAATCCTAGGACGGCACAGAAGACAGCCGGCAAATCTGCCCATTACTTATACTCCTTGGTCTCAGTAGATACAGGAGAGGTAATTTGGCCATGGGAGAAAGAAACAAAGTAATAGCATATTGGAGAAAATGAGGGTTGTGAAAAAGTAATTGTCATTCAGTAGAACCCCAGTGAATAGTGGTTAAATGTATGAACAAAATGAAAGAGAAATATACTGGAAAATAGATTGGGCTACAGCAGAGACTTACATCTGGAAATTTCCTATTGCGGTATTGAGTCAAGTATTAAATTATTGGTGTGCTTATTTTAACCAGGACATGATTTCACCACTGATAATAGGGACTGTCAAAGGGGGAAAAAGGAAAGGGAGCTTATCATAAAAAGATGTGAGCGTGCTTTCTGCTACGTGCTTGATTCTCCATATCCCATTATGGTTCGTGCATTCTTATAAAGGATGAACTAAGGCTGAAAGAAGCCTGGCCTTTCAAAATTCATCTGAATTTTGCTTGGGCCACTAACAGTTCCAGGGTTATCAGAGAATTAACCTACATAGGCTAATTTAGGAAATCGTCCTGTGGTCTTCTACTGGCTTGCCTCTGTTTTTTCACTCCTACCCCAGTCAACCTTATTTGTAAATGGGTTAAGAGCTACCTAGTGCCTTTAACTAATTGTTGCCTGGACATTTTATTGATACTATAGAGTCTTCATTTTACACACTCAGTGGTCAGTCACTAATTTTAAGCCATGAATGTTGTTCTGATAATTTTATAAACAGCCTTATTGATGTTTCATTTACAAGCATAAAATTCACTTATTTAAAGTGAATGAGAGGCTGGCTGTGTTGGCTCATGCCTCTAATCACGACATTTTGAGAAGCCATGGCAAGAGGAGCACTTGAGCTCAGGAGTTCAAGATGAAACTGGGCAACATAGTGAGACCCTATATCCACAAAAAATAAAACAAATGAAAATAGCTGGGCATGGTGGCACATGCCTGTAGTCCCAGCTACTCGGGAAGTTGAGGCAGGGGAATTGCTTGAACCCAGGAGGCAGAGGTTGCAGTGAGCTGAGATCACACCACTGCACTCCAGCCTGGTGACAGAGGAAGACTCTGTCTCAATAAATAAATAGAAAAAAAAATAAAAAGAAAATAAAGTGAATAGCTCAATTAATTTTAGCAGCTTTATATGCTTATGCAACAATAATCACTATCCATTCAGCCAGGCAACTCCTGATCTGCCTTCTGTAGTTATAGTTTTCTGTAGCCCTTTGTAGAAATTTCATCTAGATGGAATTTGAATATCTGATACTTATATTTGATTTAGAAACTAAGTTCACCTTATCAGAATAGGCAAAGACTAACTAAATTAGATGGATCTTGTATTTCAGCAGCAGAATAAATTAATTGAAAGAATTTTCTTAATAGTTGCCAAGACTTTATGGTATGCTTCATTTGCTTTGCTGAATTGCTATGTATTTCCTTTTTGTTAAGTATTTTGTCCAGTTTTGAGCTATGCATTATATTTTCTCTTTAAGAAAAATGAATTAGTTTGCATTTCAAGTTTAAGTCTATGTTATTGTGACACTTTCTAAAGAATAATTATTTATGTGTGTGTGAATGGATAGAGACACTTAATCAACCTTCAAACATCTGTGGATGGTTGAATGAATGGAAGATCTCATGATGACTTTCATATATTTGGGTCTCAGGAAAGTTGTTTATATCAGAAGTTCTTAGGATGTAGCAAATTAATAAATTGCATGTATTTGGATAGAATTTTATTCTTTGTGTGTTTTTATTTCACAGAAGAAATGTGAAACATCTTCTAGCAAGAAGCAAAGCATTACAATGGACGAAGTCCTATGTTTTACCAGAGTTTCCCTATGATGTCAAATGCATGCTAGCAGAGCAGAAGTGCCCGGATCACAGCATGAGGATAAGGATCATTGAGTTTCTCCAGGCTGACATGACCAAGTACCTGGAAGGCTCACTGTGAGTGGTAACAGGACGGCTTGTTGCTTTGGGAAAGGGTCTGTCTCAGAAAAGAGTAGAATTCATGTGGAATCAATTCTCTTCAGATTGTGGTAATAGGTTCCACATTGCCCAATATTTAAATCTCTTTTGTTATATAGAAAAACGTGAAGAAAAGTGAGTGTAATTTAGAATCATCTTAAAGCAAGGAATGTGGGCTGCTTGAAGTGAAACATATCCTCCTTGTTTGGTGACCAGGTACCCCAGCACCCAGCAGTACAATGACGTAGTGAATGCCCTGCTGCAGGCCCACCCTTTCCTGGATGAGGACGGCTGTGGCTTTGTAAGTGACCACATGGCACCATCTTGTTAATTTCAGACCATCTTAAAATAACAGCCTTGTATTGCCCAGTAATTTTATGCTTCACTCATCTTTTTCTTGGTCTCTCTCTCTCTCATTCTATGTATCTAGGTCTGTCTGTTTCTGTTTTTCTGACTCTTTGTCTCTTTGGTCTCTCTCTGATTTTGTTTCTATATTTCACTTTCTGTTAGTTCATGCTTCTTTCTTGACTTTGCGCTCTGGCTCTCTCTCTGACTTTGTCTCCATGTCTTCCCTTTTTCATAACCTCTCAGTCTCTCTCTGCCCTGTGTTCCTTTGTCTTCTTTGTCTCTCTGTGTCATCATACTGCTGTCCTCTCAAAACTGTTTGGAAACTCAGTGTAACAGAACTGATCAGGAGTTGCTCAGGGCTGAAGGCGGCCAAAATCGATAGCGATTATGGTTGCACAAGCATATAAGGTTCCTAAGATTAACTGAGCTGTTCACTTTCAGAGTCTTAAGGGTTTTAAGGGCTAGGAAGGGTCTTTAGGAGATGCAACACATAGAAAGAGAAAGATGTGGCTGCGCCTGTGTCAGAGCTGTCATCGGGTGTTTCTTGCCTTCTCAGACCCAGTCGAGCTGTTGTCTGGCTTTGAGTTCTGGGCCTCCAACCTTACCTGGCCCTGTCACATCTCTGCTGTCCTGATAAAGGATGCTCTGGGGCAGCAGTTCTTTTTTGAGCCAGAGTCTCACTTGATCACTTAGGCTGGAGCGCAGTGGCGTGATCTGAGCTCACTGCAATCTCTGCCTCCCAGGTTCAAGCAATTCTCTGGGGCAGCAGTTCTAAGCTCTGGTTGCACATTAGGATTCCTAGAGATTCTGATTGAATTAATTTGAAGATGGGACCTTGTCATTAATTTTTTTTTAATTTGCCAAAACTATTCTAATGTAGACCAGGGATGAGATCCACTGCCATCAGTGTTTCAACAAAAAGTTTGCTGTTTGATGAACCTGCCTGTCTCCTGGCTTTCAAAGACCAGGGTCTTCATTGCACACAATGTGAATATAATTTACACTATTTAACTGTACTTAAAAATAGTTAAGATGATAATAAAAAATTGAGTGTTTATGACACCGTAACTATATGAGTTAAGGAACAATTACAGGGAACCATAGCTATGGTTATATAAAGATGGACTGTCTATTTATTCCCTTTGTCTCCACATGCGATGTGCATACACATTGATAATCATATCTAAATAAGCTAGATGTCTTTTTGCACTTCACTGTCTCAGAAGTCTGTACAAATATATTTTTTGCTGTGCTTTCTTAAGGACATGGAATTTCGGCAATTCGCTCCAAGAACAACAAAAGATAAATGCCGATATCTGTGAATATAAAGACATGTAAAGGCTCTGTTTCCTCCCTCCTTTCCTCCCTCCTTCCCTCCCTTCCTCCCTCCCTCCCTTCCTTCCTTCCCTCTTTGTATTTATGCCTCCTGCCCTTCCTTCCTTCCTTTCTTCTTCCTTCTTTTTTTTTGTATTTTCAAGAAATGTTTCATTATGTATGGAGAGAATCATAGAATTTTCCCAGTGAGAGAGGTCATTAAGCGTTCTTTTCCCCACTCAGACTAAGGAAAAATGTTGTATAGCATGTCTAGAAAATACTAATTATTGAAGCCAAGATTAGAATTCAGGCATTCTTGCTTCTAGAATGACAGCCTTTCCAAAATATGCCACTGCATATAAAGCGCACTACAGAAGAAATCAAATTTCCTCCAAAAACAAAACAAAATACAAACAAAGCAACAACAACAACAATGCTGAACAAACCGGGGTCCCAACATTGACGATCACGTCAGTATGGCTGTCAAAACTGATTCCCAGGATTTCTTCTATACTCAGGATACATCTACCAAGTTAATATCTAATCATTGTTACTGTGTATAGAGCTTGTGTGTTTTTAAATTTACATTTACTATTTGAATAAATTACATATTTACATAGCTCAAAATTCAAAAACTAAAAGGGTATAAACAGAAAAGTTTCCTACCCGTCCTGGCTCCTCCAGCCATGTAATTTTTCTCTCCAGAAGTAACCGATGTCAGAGTCCTTCTAGAGGATCTTTGCATATACTTAATCAAATCCGTATTGATCCAATTACCTTTGACCTTTACTTTCATGCTTATCAAAATGAGACACATACAAAGTAGCCAATAATTCTTTCTTTGCTCTTGTGCGCATTTCATCCACATCTGTTCCCAGTGACATTCACCAAAGACCGTTAACTGATACAGAGATGTGTGCAAAATTGCTTAGCAGCTTAGGGCTCAGATTTGCACTCAGAGTAGACTGAGAAACCCTGGTGCCTGGATATATGTTTACCCAAATTCTCCCTCCAAGTGTGTATGAGGTTTTGTTCCTAATGCTACAGTGGAAAATGTACAAAATTTGAGAGAACATTTAATGGGAGGCAGGGGGTGGAAAAAGAGAGCGAATGCACAAACGTGGTTATTTTTAGGGCTAATTTTATTTTTAACTCTTAATTTTGAAAATTTTTGGGCTGGGCATGGTGGCTTATGCCTGTAATCCCAGCACTCTGGGAGGCTGAGGTAGGTGGATCACCTGAGGTCAGGAGTTTGTGACCAGCCTGGCCAACAAGGTGAAATGCATTTTTGTGTTGTAAAAATACAAAAATGAGTCAGGCCTGGTGGCAGGTGCCTATAATCCTAGCTACTCGGGAGGCTGAGGCAGGAGAATTGCCTGAACCGGGAGGCAGAGGTTGCAGTGAGCTGAGATCACACCATTGCACTCTGCACTCCAACCTGGGCAACAAGAGCAGAACTCTATCTCAAAAAAGAAAGAAAGAAAGAAACGAAAAATTTCAAATCTGAACAAACATTGAAAGAATGCTACACTGATGCTCATATACTCTTACCTCTGCACTGTTTACCTTTGGGGCTTGATAATTCTTTGTGCTTGGGGCTGTCCAGTGCATTGAAGTAGCATCCCTGGCACCCACTAGGTGTGAGTAGCACTCTGTCCACCCAGTTATAACAACCACACATGTCCCCAAACAGTATAGCAAGCACACTACAGAATAAAGCAAATTTTCTCTTAAAACAAAACAAAGCAACACCAACAAAACCAAACAAGGGAGGGGGCAGAACAACATCAGTTTGCATGCTGAGAACTACTGACTTAGATTAGGGATTAACATTTTCCCCATTTATTTTTTTTCTGTCATATTTATTTGTTTGTTTTGGCTGAGCATTTAAAGGAAAGCTGCAGGTGTCATCCCTAAATACCATAACATATATCTTATAAGAACACTTGGGAGTGGCGGTTCATGCCTGTGATCTCAGTACTTTGGGAAGCCAAAGTGGATGCATCATTTGAGCTTAGGAGTTCAAGACCAACCTGGGCAACATGGTAAAATCCATCTCTACAAAAAAAAATATATATAAATTAGTCAGGTATGGTGGCAGGGGCCTGTAGTCCCACTACTTGGGAGGCAGAGGTGGGAGGATCACTAGAGCCCAGGGGGTCGAGGCAGCAGTGACTTACGATTGCACTCCAGCACTCTAGCCTGGGTGACAGAGCAAAACCCTGTCCCAAAAATAAAATAAAACAAAAATAAGGATAATCTCTTATATGACCACAATACCATTTTTATACCCAAGAAAATTAGCAATAATTGCATATCATATACAATCCATATTCACATTTCTTCAGTTTTTCAAAACTGTTTTAAAAATAATTTTTTGCTATAATATCTGAGTTATGCATTGCATTGGTTAGTATGTCTCTTTAATTTCTTTTTGTCTAGACTGTCTCTCTATACCCTTTTTAATTTTTTCGGATATTTGCTTTTTGGACAAGTCTAGTCCAGTTGCTGTGTAAGATGGTCCACATTCTACATTTGAATGTGCGAAGATCTGCTGGTGATGCTGTGGACTTCATACGTCACAAAAGGAGGTCTGCAATTTCAGGGCCATTTTTTATTCGAGTGGTTTGTGGAGAGCTGTATTCATGTAGATCTTTCTACACTCTTTCTGGCTGGAAACATGAAGGAGAGGGATGATTATTCTCTAACACAGATATTTCCTACTGAGTCTGCCTACCTAAGGTATCTGTGTAAGTAATTCACGCTGCATGCAGGTGTATAGCAGATTCTCAGTAAATACTCACTGATTGAATACTCATGCAGAAGATTGTATTTGATTTGTCCTTTTTCTGCTCCTATCAAACAGTTAATAAGGAAAGACAGGAGAGGGTAGACAGAAGAAATTGGCAATTTAAAAATGTCCTAGCCATTGATCGCTCTAATACCTCCCACCAGGTTCAGCACGTTTAGAAACCCTTCAAAGCTGTAGGAAACATGTAGAAAACAAAGTGTACTTTCACTTGTTTGTATTTCATGCCTAAAAAAATACAAGCCATTCTTTTTTTCAGTTCTGTTGTTAAACAGCAATGGCAAAGTCCACCCTCACAAGCCTGTGGGAGGTGATAAGGCATCTCTGACTCATGTATACCCAGGAGCTTAATCTGTGCTGAAGCCATCCTCTAAGCCTCAACCACACCTTTCTCACTAGGGCTGCTGAAGGACTTTACAAGCAACACTTTAGTTGGCAAATATCTTCAGTGAGTAGTTACTCACTTGAGTCTCCCGAAAAGCCAGTGCAGTTGATAGGACAGATCTTATTGTTCCATTTTATAGTTGAAGAAACTAAAACTAAGAGGGGTTACTTGGCTAATTCAGGCGAGTACTTGGACCTGGGGTCTTCCCAACTTAGGCCATGGTACTTTCAGGGATTACTCTTATTGGAACTTATAAACCATGTAACCAAGAATGGCAAAATCTAAGTGCCAAGCATTTGGCTGATGTTATTTTGGTGGCATTCCCATTGACCCATGAGGAAGCAGAGCTTAGAAAACATGGCCAAAGCCACTCGGTGACTGACCACTCTCTATGGCCAGGGCAGAGGGAAACACAGGTTCATATGCCTGCAAGGGTTTTTTTTTTTCCTTCCCTCAACTCACTGTGGGGATCTATTCAAGCCCTCAGCACTGCAGGGGAGATTAACAGCAGAAGCAGCTCTAAGGTATTGGCTTCAAGAAGGGTGGGGTCGCCACTCACACAGTGAGTTAGTTACCAATTAAGCACTGCCAGGATTCAGAGTCTCACTTCTGGTCTGTCATGTTGACACCTGCATCTCCTGCTTCATAGAGGACTGACACAAGGCATCAAACATTTATTGTTTCCAGCATGCATGAAGCACTGTGCTGGGCTTGGTGGGCAAAACAGGCATGAGCCTTTCTTTATATGCTTATAGTGTAGAGACAAGAAGGAAAGGAAGGAAGGAAAGAAAGGAAGGAAGGAAAGAAGGAAGGAAGGAAAGAAGGAGGAAGGGAGGGAGGAGAGAAAGGAAAAGAAAAGAAAAAGAAATAGAAGCAAAGTTTCACATAGATGAGGTAAGATTACCACTCTGATAAGTGCCAATGAAGAAAGGGGAGACCCAACACCAAGCTGTTACAGAGGCCAGAGGATGCTATCATGAAGCACAGACTGAGCTAAGACCTGAAGGCAAAGCAAGAGTTAACTAGATACCAGCTTGGGAGGGGAGAAAGTGAGGGGTAAAGCTTTCCAGACCCGAACCGAAGGCCCGGCAGTGGAAGAGATGTTGGCATACTGAGGAACAAATCCAGTGCTGCTTCTTAGGTGTTGTCCATGTCTCTGGTCTCACAAAATCTCCACATGTCAGACAGATCCTTCCAGAGCTCAGATCTGACCATTCACTCTCCCACCTCAACATGGCCTAGGAAGACTTCCTCATCTGGCTGTTCTGACAAATTCTTTCCAGAGCTTTAAAAAATACAGACATTTGGGCTCCATTCCAATCTCCTGAACCAGGATCTGTGGAGTCTGGAGCAGTAGCAAGCAACAGCATTGCATGGGAACTTGTAAGAAATGCACACACTCAGCCTACCCCTGACCTCAAAATCAAAGACTCTAAGAGTGGGGCTCAGCAAACTGTGCTCTAACAGGTCCTCCAGGAATTGATTCAGCTCCGGTTTTAGAATTATTACTTTAGAGGAAAGACCAAGGGCAAAAGTTCCTATGAGATTCTAATACGGCCTTTCCACAGAGACAGATTTAAGATCTGGTTCAGGATTACATTGAGGCTCCTTAATGGGGTGACCATAGTTCTTGGTGATTGAGCCCGCTCCTCTTTCCCACCTTATTTTTTTACCCCATCCTCTGTCATTCCCCCATCTTGAGCTCTGTGCTCCAGCCACACACAACTCTTGTAATTCTCTAAAGGGCACCAGCTCTCCGTCTATTCCATTGCACATGCAGCTTCATCCTCCTGGAACTTCTGCACATCTACTCAATTGGCATTCCCCAGTGCTATCTCCATCCCTTCATGTAGTTACCTGACCCTATGACCTAGGCCTCAGTTTACATTCACTTCCTACGGGAAGGCTTTTACGATCTAATACAATGTAAATGATGTCTCTTCCCCCGTGATAGTACTTTTCACTCTATATTGAAATTATTCATCCCTCTGCTAGACTGAAATTGAGGTCCACCTATACCCTTCTCCCTCCCAGAACTGGGACTTGGCCTTTCTGTTTGAAACAGTAGAGGCACCATAGACCTAGGGAGTGAATGCCAATAGTACTCACCAAAATGAATTTCAAAAGATGACAGAAAATTATTTTCAAATAAAATGCATCAATCTATATGCCAGTATCAGGTCTTTTCTAGAACCCACTAGAAAAATGGATTTAGTTGTGGAGACAGTAGAATATAGTGGAAAGTATCACTTTTAGGAATTGGGAAGTCTAGGTTCAGGAACCAATATATTTATTCAATAACCATATGGCATTGGGAAAAGATTTCTATTTCTATGACTTTGTTTTCTTACCTATAACTTAGAGTTTATAATTTCTATAGCAATGTCACAAGACTGCTGTAAGAATAAAAAAAGGATAGATATATTATTTCTATGACTATGATGTAAAAAAAAATTTAAGCCCAAAGATGATAGGTGAATAAATATTTTATTGTTTATATAGGATTATCTCAATCTCCTTGGAGACTAACTGACGTGTTTGGTTTGTTTTACACAGTTTTTATGGAAACGAGCCCTCAAAGATCGCTTTAAATATGTTCGAAGACCCATAGAAGATGATGAACAAGTGATTAGAAATAAGTGTAAATTTGGACACCGAAGAGGCCAGACAAGGAAATCTATTGCTGATATAAGATTTGATGGAATTAAACTTGTCCAGATCAAAGTAAGATTGAATTCTTAAATATTCTGATGACTTGATTGATTGATATATTGAATAAGGGCTAATAAATAATAGTATTTAAAATAATTAAAACAAAATGAGATACCTGTTTAAAATTTGAAGTATAGTCAAGAACCAAGAAAGCCTTTTTTGCTTGGCTAACACTGAGCACGGTATTGCCAAGAAAAGAATTCCAAAAGCAATTACTGAACATCTCATGTTCAGTTTTGTTTCACAACCTTCAAAAACTTGGAAAAACAAGTTCAGAGTCCTCAAATACTTTTTTTTGCTCTCATCCTAAAATGCATCTTATGTTCTTGATGCTCTTATTGCTACAGGAAGTTTTTTAATACTCACACTGTGTAGGTTAGATAGCCTCCAGTCTCCAGGTTTCAGGGAAAAAATAACCTACATGCATGGACACAAAACTCCATCCTGGCCTTCCCTTCCCTGTGGGTCCTGAAGCCTTTCCAGCGCAACCCAGAAGTGGCTGTCAGGAACTCCAGGCTGAGGGCCCCCGGAGGGCCTAGAGATTCTTCCCTCACCAGTTGGGAGATCATGTGAATTCCACTTGTCTGAAATCCTGTGCATACTCCTTTTCTACCTCAGAGCACCGAAATATCCTCAAAAACAAAAGTCCTCCTGCTAGCAAAGTAGATTGAATTCTTTAAGCAGGATGTCTGAACTACCGAGTATGAAAGTGAAATCTCTTGTCCTCCCAATTCCGTTTCTCTTAATCCAGTGTGAATATGTAAATCCTAACTCTTCACCACACACGTGTTTTATATTACTGAATGTACTTGGTGTAAATATTCTATTTTCTTTTTCATCTGGTATATTTATTTGATAGTAAAAGGGCAAAGTATTGAGTCACCTCAGTTTTATTAGTGCTTGTTATAAGATCCATAGTACAAGACTATTTTGCAAACCACTCATCCCAGCATCATGCATAATGCAAAACTTGGATGAAAGTATGTACTTTAAATATCTTATTCTAATTTTCAATGAGGCTTTCAAAATGATAGGTCAGTTAAGATAACACAATTCTATAATTGTTCTTTGACAAAAAGACAAGGCAAATGAAAGCTACCCTAAATTTAGTGGTGTAACTTTTTAGAAACTTTGCAAAATTTCAATTACAAACTAAAATTATGATAAGATAGATTCATATTTATTTCGAAATCTTTTATGTTCATAAAAATCACTTGTGGGAGGGGCCAGATGGCCTAATAGGGATAGCTCCAGTTCGAAGCTCCCAGCTAGAGCAATGCAGAAGGAGGGTGATTTCTGCATTTCCAACTGAGGTACCCAGTTCATGTCATTGGGACTGGTTAGACAGTGGGTCCAACCCACGGAGGGCAAGCAGAAGCAGGGTGGGGCAGAAGCAGGGAGCTGGGGACCTCCCTCCCTGAATCAAGAGAAGCCATGACTGTGCTATATGGCTAGGTTACTGTGCTTTTCCCACGGTTTTTGCAGTCTGCAGATCAGGATATTCCCTCATGTGCCTATATCACAAGGGACCTGGGTTTCAAGCACAAAACTGTTTGGGCAGATACTGAGCTAATTGCAGGATTATCTTTTCATACCTTAGTGGTGCTTGAAACCTCAGTGAGACAGAACTATTCTCTCCTCTGGAAAGGGGGCTGAAGTCAGGGAGCCAAGTGGTCTCACTCAGTGGCTCCCTCTCCCACGGAGCCCAGCCAGCTAAGAACCACTGACTTGAAATTCTCACTGCCAGTATAGCAGTCTGAAGTCAACTTAAGTCAATCAAGCATGGTGGGGGTAGTGGTATCTGCCATTAATGAGACTTTAGTAGGCAGTTTCCCCGAGAGTGCTAAGGAGTCTGGGAGGTCTGGGCTGGGCAAGGCAAAGTGGTTGTGGCCAGACTGCTTCTCTAGATTTCCTCCTCCTTCAGGGCATCACTGAAGGAAAGGTAACAGCCCTAGTCAGGGGCTTACAGACAAAATCCCCATCTCCATGGGCAGAGCACCTGGGTGAAGGGGTGGCTGTGGGCACAGCTTCAGTGGATTTAATCCTTCCTGTCTGCCAGCTCTGAAGAGAGCAGCTTATCCTGACAAGAGAGATTCTTCCAGCACAGCACTCGAGCTCTGCTAAGGGACAACTGCCTCTTGAAGAGAGTACCTGACCCCCATGCCTCCTGACTGGGAGAAACCTCCCAACAGGGGTCGACAGACACCTCATACAGGAGAGCTCTGGCTGGCACTGGCAGGGGCCCCTCTGGGACAAAGCTTCCAGAGGAAAGAGCAGACAGCAATCTTTCCTATTCTGCAGCCTCCACTGGTGATACCCAGGCGAACAGGATCTGCAGTGGACCTCCAGCAAACTGCAGCAGACTTGCAGAAGAGGGACCTAACTGTTAGAAGAAAAACTAACAAACAGAAAACAAGAGCATCAATGTCAACATAAAGGACTCTGCCAACAAAAACCCCATCCAAAGTCATCAGCCTCAAAGATCAAAGGTAGATAAATCCATGAAGATGAGGAAAATTCAGTGCAAAAATTCCAAGAATTGCAAAAACCAGAGTGCCTCTTCTCCTCCAAATGATTGCAACTCCTTTCCAGCAAGGGCACAAAACTGGACACAGAATGAGATTGACAAATTGACAAAGTAGGCTTCAGAAGGTGGGTAATAACAAACTCTTTTGAGCTAAAGAAGCATTTCCAACCTGATGCAAGGAAGCTAAGAACCTTGATAAAAGGATACAGAAACTGCTAAGTAGAATAACCAGTTTAGAGAGAAATGTAAATGACCTGATGGAGCTGAAAAACACAGTGCAAGAACTTTGTCATGCATATGTCAAGTAACAATAGCAGAATTGATCAAGCAGGAGAAAGGATATCAGACATTGAAGATCAACTTACTGAAATAAGGCATGAAGAAAAGATGAGAGAAAAAAGAATGAAAATGAATGAACAAAGTCTCCAAGAAACATGGGACTATGTTAAAAGACCAAACATATGATTGGTGAACCTGAAAGTGACAGAAAGAATGGAACCAAGTTGGAAACATACTTCAGGATATTATCCAGGAGAACTTTCCCAACCTAGCAAGACAGGCCAGCATGGAAATACAGGACACACAACTAAGATACTTCTTGAGAAGAACAACTGCAAGACACATAATCATCAGATTTAGAAGGTTGAAACAAACAAAAAAATGCTAAGGGCAGCCAGAGAGAAATGTCAGGGAACCCACAAAGAGAAGCCCATCAGAGTAACAGCAGATCTCTCTGCAGAAACCCTGCAAGCCAGAAGAGAGTTGGGGCAATAGTCACATTCTTAAAGAAAAGAATTTTTAACCCAAAATTTCTTATCCAGCCAAACTAAGCTCCATAGTGGAGGAGAAATGAGATCCTTTACAGACAAGCAAATGCTGAGAGATTTTGTCATCACCAGGCCTGCCTTACAAGAGTTCCTGAAAGAAACACTAAATAGGGTCAGGTGCAGTGGCTCAAACCTGTAAACCCAGCACTTTGGGAGGCTGAAGCAGGTGGATCAAGAGATCGAGACCATCCTGGTCAACATGGTGAAACCCCGTCTCTACTAAAAATGCAAAAAATTAGCTGGGCATGGTGGCATGTGCCTGTAATCCCAGCTACTCAGGAGGCTGAGGCAGGAGAATTGCCTGAACCCAGGAGGTGGAGGTTGCAGTGAGCTGAGATCACGCCATTGCACTCCAGCCTGGGTAACAAGAGCAAAACTCTGTCTCAAAGAAAAAAAAAAAGAGCACTAAATATGGAATGGAAAAACAGGTACCAGCCACTGAAAAAACACATGAAAATATAAAGACCATTGACACTATGAAGAAACTGCATCAACTAATGGACAAAATAACCAGCTAGCATCATGATGACAGGATCAAATTCACACATAACATATTAACCTTAAATGTAAACAGGTTAAATACCCCAATTAAAAGACACAGACTGGAAAATTAGATAAAGAGTCAAGACCAATTGGTGTGCTGTTTTCAGGAGACCCATCTCATGTGCAAAGACACATAGGCTCAAAATGAAGGGGTGGAAAGATATTTACCAAGCAAATGGAAAGCAAAAAAAAAAAAAAAAAGCAAGAGTTGCAATCCTAGTCTCTGATAAAACAGACTTTAAACCAACAAAGATTGAAAAAGACAAAGAAGGGCAGTACATTATGGTAAAGGGATCAATGCAACAAGAAGAGCTGACTATCCTATAGATGCACCCAATAAAGGAGCACCCAGATTCATAAAACAAGTTCTTTGAGACCTACAAAGAGACTTAGACTCTCACAAAATAATAGTGGGAGATTTTAACACCCCACTGTCAATATTAGACAATCAATGAGACAGAAAATTCACGAGGATATCTAGCACTTGACCTCAACTCTGGACCAAGCAGACCTAATACACATCTACAGAACTCTCCACCCCACATTAACAGAATACACATTCTTCTCAGCACCACATTGCACTTATTCTAAAATTGACCACATAATTGGAAGTAAAGCGCCCCTCAGCAAATGCAAAAGAACAGAAATCATAACAGTCTCTCAGACTGCAGTGCAATCAAATTAGAACTTAGCATTAAGAAACTGACTCAAAACTGCAAAACTACATGGAAATTGAACAACCTGCCCTGGAATGACTATTGAGTAAATAACGAAATTAAGGCAGAAATAAAGAAGTTCTTTGAAACCAATGACAACAAAGAGACAAAGTACCAGAATCTTTAGGACACAGCTAAAGCAGTGTCTAGAGGGAAATTTATAGCACTAAATGCCCACATCAGAAAGCTGGAAAGATCTAAAATTGACAACCTAACATCGCAAGTTAAAGAACTAGAGAAGCAAGTGCAAACAAATTCAAAAGCTAGCAGAGGACAAGAAATAACTAAGATCACAGCAGAACTGAAGGGGATAGTGACACAAAAAACCTTTCAAAAAAACAATGAATCCAGGAGCTGGTTTTTTGAAAAGACTAACAATATAGATGGGCCACTAGCTAG